GGTCATGGTGGCCCCTATGTACCTCTCCTCCGGCAGCGGCCTGGCCCCGGCGCTGGTGCTGGCCCTGCTCATCGAGCTGTTCCTGAGCGGCATGGTGGGTGCGACACCAGCCCCGGGAAACCGCTGGGGGCAGGACGGGCCGGTCCCACCCGCCTTCCGCACCTCCTCGGTGCTCCTGGACGCCTCAGGCCAGCTGCGCTTGGTGGACGGCCGCCACCCTGATGCTGTGGCCTGGGCCAACTTCACCAACGCCATCCGCGAGACCGGGTAAGGGTTGGCCTGACCCCTCGCGGGGCCTGCCGGGAGAGGAGGCTGCGTGGGTGCCGGGCCTCGCCAGCTCCTTGAGTAGGTCTCTCCCCTGGTGACAGCTCCTGTCTCCATGGGGGGCCGTTTACCACCTCCGAGGCTGTAGTACAGCGGTCGGGACCAAGTCTCTGCTTGGGCAGGGACTAATGCAGCATCCTTCACCTCCTGGGTGCCAGTCCCTTGCCTTCAGCCAGTGATGACAGTGCTTCTGTCCCCGAGAGACCAGTTCTCCACCACCGAGGCTGCAGTGCCTGCGTCTGGATCAGGTCCATGGCTGGTGGGTAGTACAGTAACTCTTGTCCCTATGGGGACCATCCCCTTCCCCAGACTTCAGTTCCCCACCCCGTGGAGGTCAGCCCCCTCTCCCCGGGCCAGAGGCATGGCAACAGCTCTCTGGGAGGCTCACTCTCACTTGCTTGGCTGTGGCTTACCCCATGGGTGCCAGTCCCCTGCCTCCTTCCAGAACCAGGACAGCAGGACTCGGCCTGGGTTCCAGGCCAGTCTGGAAGCAGAGAGGGTCCCTAAATTCACACAGACCCAGACAGTACTCTTGCTAGGGTTCTGCTTCTCCGTTCCCTTCTCTGTCCTCGTCCAGGGGGAAGTCCTCTGCCAGATGTTTAGTATAGAGCCAAGCGCTCCGTGCTTGGCAGTCATGATCACTGTCCTTATCGCCTGGTCCAGGCTGTCATTCTGAT